TTTCCCACGAGATTATGGAACATAAATGATTCTCCCAAAGTTCATCAGAGCCTCATCAGAGTCATATAAATACCCCAAAATGTAAATGACTCATGAATGTGTGAATAAAAAGCTGTTTTTGATACTTGCATATTGAGAAATTTAAATAAAAGTATTTGAGAAAAATATTTTGAGCTATATTGATGCCACAGTGTTTGAGAAACAGCTTGTGGCATTTAACGTCCCCCAAAGGCAGCTGGGTTTTCCCCATTCCAACTTGGTAGCAGTGTGTTAAGAGATAAACAGATAAAATTATTTGCCATAATTTTAAAATAAATATAGCTGGATGGTTTAAGCAGTTGGCTTTAAAAAAAAACTTTCAGAATCATTTAATCCTCTTGCTAGATTTTGTCAAGCAAAGGATCATAACTAGTCTCAAGTAGCCAATCCATGAGGAATGAAGGAGTTTCTTATCTAGGCCATCCAGGAAAATGAACTTTCTTTTCATTCCCTCATAGTCTCCTGTCTTTATCTTGAAATGGCAAGTGCCCTATCTTCCCACAGGCACCTTTCTGCTCAGGATTAAAAAAGGTGAAATGAAAACCTACAAAAGCCAATGAGCTGCTTTTTGCAGTATTGAAATCCAGAAGGTTCCTAAGAGAATCCTTGAGAGAAATCATTCTCTGGATGGACACAGAATTTGGCAAAGCAGCTGGTGCTTTCTTTTTATAAGAGTTGCTTTGCTAGTGGTGTCTCTCCACAGCAATAGAACAGTGACTAAGACACTGTCAGAACCCTAACCTCCAGAATGGCATGGAGAACGTGCAGATTTAATGATTTGTAGCTAGAGGGGGCTTGACAGTTACTAAGAGAGCTCTCTCTGTTTTTTTTTAATTAGAAAAACACACCCCTGTATTAAATTTGTGATGGTAAATAGCAAATTATCCTTAGACTGATTAAAGAAGAAGATTATCTTATACCTAACAGGTTAATAACTTGATTCTAAATTTTTTGATAATGTGTGCCAAAAGCCTTCAAAATATATTTATTATTTTCAGTAATAATTTAATTCTTAGGAATATATGATATACTATGTTAGGAATTATATAAAAGCTCCATTAAATGTTAATAAGATACTAATATTATAAACATGATATATTTATTGAGATTATTATCTATTTGATGCAGTATAATACACATGACATAGCGTGTACACCGAAAGGTATTAAATGGCCACAAATCATATGATTTAGATGCAGCCATACAAAATGTGTTCAGGATAGATCCTTAAGTAATAAAGGCACAGAAGCAAAAACCAAAAACAAACAAACAAAATAAAACACAACAAATCAAAAAGCCCTACAGTTTCACACACACACACACACACACACACACACAAATTTATTGTTATATGCATGGGTGTTTTGCTTGCACAATGTGCACCAAGTGTGGATGTGGTACCCACCAAGGCCAGAAGAGAGCATAGATATTTGAAAGTGAAGCTGTACCAGCCAGTTGTGAGCCACCATGTGGATGCTGAAAACTGAATCTAGGTCTTTTTCAACAGCAGCCAGTGCTCTTAGTTACTAAGTCATCTCTCTAGTGCTCCCTCTGCCATATATATATATATATATATATATATATATATATATATATATATATATGTATTACAAACATAGATAACAAATAAAAGAACAATACCTCCCAATGTGTTAAAGTTATTTAAGTGGTTGTTTGGAGTTATGATAACTGGTGACCAGTTTCTCCCACCAACATCTCTGTCTTTCTCCCTTTCTTCTTTCTTCTCCTCATTCTCCCTCTTCTTGGCTTCTTCTGTTTTCCAAATGTTTGGGCATACATCGTATTATTTTGTTTTAAAGAGAAGATAATGTTTGGTGTTCTTGTTATCTTTTCCATAAATTTTCCTCTTTGGAGTTTTCTTAAGGGGTTGAGGTGGGAAGAGAAGACAACGCTGTTTGTATTTCTCTTAAGAACTCAGTCCCTTTTCTTCAGGATTCTAAGTTTTCTTTCTTCAATCTAGAGACTGAGTCTTCTGTGTCACTGAGCAGTAGACGAGGAAGGCTTCTCTAATCACTTCACAGTTCAGTTAAATAACTGCTTTTGTTGTGCCCACTTTAGTTATAGGACTGTCCTGTGAGCACACAAATCTAGTATTTAAAAATTGTTTAAAATTTATTTTTATTTCATGTGCATTGATGTTTGCCTGCATGTATGTCTGTGTCAGGATGTTTGAGCCTCTGGAACTGGAGCTACAGACAGTTGTGAGCTGCCATGTGGGTACTGGGAATTGAACCCAGGTCCTCTGGAAGAACATTCAGTGCTCTTAACTGCTGAGGTATCCCCTCAGCCCCCATTACAGGATCTTTCGCTTTTCCTTTTGTTTTGGTTTCTTGAGGGGAGGGTTGTTTGTTTTTGTTTTTGAAGACAGGTTTTCTCTGTATAAGAGCCCTAGCTTTCCTGGAGCTTGCTCTGTTGACTAGGCTGGTCTTGAACTCACAGAGATCTGACTACCTCTGAAATATAATACTTTACATATAATTGTTTCATGATATGTAAATATTATGCATTTTTCTCTACAACAGAAAAATTTCATTGTAGCTTTTATATGCACAACTAAAGTGATTTAGTGTCTAAGTTATCACATCATTTTTTTTAATTAGCTAATTTTAGGTTTTTAAATAGTCTAATACCTGGCTAAATTTTTTTCAAGGAAGCCCAAAGCAAGCCATATTCAAAGGGCAGGACTAAAAAGGTGATAATAGAAACGATTAGTAATGCAAAGCCGTTGAGAGCAATCTTAAAGTTCTGAATCTGATATTGAATTCTGAATTTGAGTTCTGATATTAAAGGTGGAGGATTATGGGAGTTGTTCAGTTCAGGTTAGAACATGCTGAGAACTGAAAGTGGTATAGACAGATCATTAAAAAACACTTTTGTTGTAGTAACAGCCATATATGGCTTGTCTGCTAATGGTCTGAGCAAGGACAATATTAACCTCATAGTATGTCTGTGAAATTTTTGCTATATATATAGTAAGTATAGGGCTGGAGAGATGGCTCAGTGGTTAAGAGCACCGACTGCTCTTCCAGAGGTCCTGAGTTCAATTCCTAGCAACTACATGGTGGTTCACAACCATCTGTAATGGGATCTGATGCCCTCTTCTGGTGTGTCTGAAAACAGAAATGGTGTTCTCATATAGTAAGTATATTTTCCTGTTTTATTTTTTTCTTCTGTTGTTGTTTTTGTTTGTTTTCATAAGACAGAGTTTTTCTATGTATAGCCCTGGTTGTCCTAGACCTCACTCTATAGACCAAAAATGGCCTTGAACTCAGAGATCCACCTTCCCTCTGCTTCCCAAGTGCTGGGATTAAAGGTGTGTGCCACCAACTCCCAGCTAGTAACTATATTTTCAATCTTTTTTTAAAAGGAAGAAAGAAAGAAAGAAAGAAAGAAAGAAAGAAAGAAAGAAAGAAAGAAAGAAAGGAGGGAGGGAGGGAGGGAGGGAGAGAAGGAAGGAAGGAATGAATTCCATCAGCACAATTATCAATGGTGCTTCATGAATCTGGGAGAAATTGAGCAAAGAACCACCATTATAGGATTGCATTATGATTCCTCCTTAGTGATATTGGGGGGCGGCTGTGGGTCCCAGATCTAATGCTAGGGGTGCCAGGCTCAAGATTCAGGCAAGTGAGGATTGACTTAGAGGAAGGTGGGAATAACACGTTCTTATGATCAGAAATGCCAGCAGCATGTAGCAGGAAGAAGTCCTGGTAAGGAAAGAAAGGGCAATCCTTCAACAGGAAGATGGCCAGTCTTCTGGAACCCCAGCAACATCCACTAACCTGCTTGGGTTTGTGCAAAGGATACTGACTGACTGAGTGAGCTGTCTCTCCAGGCTGCCTGAGCACCACCATTTAATCGTCAAAATAGTCATTCTTCATTCTTGGGTCAATGAGTGATAGGGCATCTGGAGGCTCTGGACGAAGAACACCAAGCTCAGGTGTACCTGAGCTTCAACTGCACCTGATGAAGACCCATGGCATTTGGCTCTGCTGCTTGGTCAATACTGAACTCTTAGTCCCCTTGTAGCATTTGCATTTGCCTTGGAAAATACTTTAGAACAAATCAATAACAACTTCAAGGTAAAAAAAAAAAAAAAACAAAAAACAAACTCTACACTCTTAACAGCTTTTTCCTTTGACATGAATGTGTAAATTGAAATCCCTCCGAAGTTTTAAAAAATAAAAATGGTTGGCTTCCCAAAAATGTTTTCATTGGCTTTAGAAAACTAAAACACACCAGTGTTTGGGTGACTAATACTTCCTGTAAAATAAAGATAGATCAACACATAATTAAGTTCTGGCTGAGATATAATTGTTGTCTTGGAAACAGTTTTGGGTATGAATATGGTTATGTTAATGAAAGTCTCTCTGATTTCTAATGATGATCCAGCTGATTAATTAGGCCAGGCTACCCACTTAAAGGGTTAAGAAACAAAACAAAACAAAACACAAGACCCACAAAAACAATTCCTGAGAGAACACTGAGCTGAGGAAAAGTGGTAAATCTCAGATTAGTTATTCGTTAGTGCTTCCAAGTATTTCTAGTTGGAGAAGTAGGCGACAAGTGCTTTTTGGGTTATTTGTGGTTTTCAAAGATCCTTCCTGTCACACCAGGCAAAAAACAGAGACCTAGGCAGAATGCACACCATCCCCTCTACTTCTTGAGCATGACGTCCCAGTAAGTTCTTCATCCAGAGCCCAGGTTCCAGCATTTGGGTCGGAAGTTCTAGTTAAAGCAGAGCACTCAGGGGCGCCTGCAGGCGCTTAAGGGTTTGGCTGGGGCCGAGTGTGAACTCTTAAGGGTGAGAGCGCAGCTCAGCTTAGATCACCGTCACTCCGGTGTGCGTGCGAGTGTGTGCGCGGGTGCCCGCGCATGTGTGTGTGTGTGTACGTGTGGGGAGGTGTGTGCCAAAGGGGTGGGGTGAGGGGGAGAGAGCTGGCCCTAGGTGCTGCACGAGGGGAGGGAGGTCTCCCGCTCCCGCCTCTCGCCCGGGGGCACCAGCCGCAGCCTGCGGACTCGGCCACCTCTCGGTGACGCCACAGGCCCAGCGACCCTTGGGATCACCGGCTGCGCGCCTCGCCAAGGGGACAAGGATGGCGCGGGGCTGACGGTCTCCTCCCTCTCCTGGGACCTCCTCCGCCCCACCCGGGGCTTGGGGGACCGACCGCGGCACCGCCCCGACCTGCATGCTGGCCAGGCCCCCGCAGCCTGAGGCCCTCAGCGTCCCTGAAGCGGTTCCCGGCCGCGCCGGAGGAGGTCCAAGACGACGAGGTGGAGGAGGAGGAGCCGGCTGCCGCCGCGCTGCGGCCCGGGAGCACGGGCTCCCCGGAGGGCGTTTGGGGAGTCCCGGCCCCGGAGGAGGGACCCGGAAGCAGAAGCACCGCCGCGAGCGGAGCGGAGCCGGTTGTCCGCGCTGCCCGGCGCCGGCTGGGGGTCCCGGCGGCTGGATGGGCGGCGGCGGCGCGGGCCGCGGGCGGCGATGGGCGAGGAGCAGAGCACGGTGAGCGGCCGCGGCGGGACCCGGGAGGCGCGGGCCCCTGGCAGAGGCTCGGCGGGCCAGCCCGAGTACCCCAGGCCGCGAGGAGACCGCGCCGGGGCAGCCGGGCCGCGCGCCGCCGCCTCCTCCTCCTCTCGGCCGAACGGCGGCAGAGACCGGGGCTGTGTGGACGCGAGCGCCCAGGAGCCTGTGAGCAACCGGGCCCCGGCAGGGCAGCCCGCGCGACTGCCGCTCACCGGGCCCCTGAACCCCCAAAGTCTGGAACGGCAGCTGGAGCGCGAGGCAGAGGGAGCGGGGCCACGGGAGGCGCCCCCCGGCCAGCAGCCTCCGGACGGGTTGCTCCTAGACGTGCTGGCCCAGCGACACCCGCCCCCCGCCAAGCCGCAAGTCTTCTGCTCCGTGTACTGCGTGGAGAGCGACCTGCCGGAGGACCCCTCCGCCGAGTCCCCGTCGCTGCCAGAGTCCCGACCTCAAGCACCGCCGGGGCCGATTCCCGCCAGCCCGCCGCCCTCCTTCCCCAGCTCCCCGCTGTCGCTCCCGGCTGACCCCCTCTCCCCCGACGGCGGCAGCATCGAGCTGGAGTTCTACCTGGCTCCGGAGCCCTTCTCTGTGCCTGGCCTATTAGGAGCTCCACCTTATTCTGGCCTGGGCGGGGTAGGGGACCCCTATGCGCCCCTCATGGTGCTGATGTGCCGGGTGTGCCTGGAAGACAAGCCCATCAAGCCCCTGCCCTGCTGCAAGAAGGCGGTGTGCGAGGAGTGTCTCAAAATCTACCTGAGCTCTCAGGTAACTCCCCACTACTCTCTGTCCACCCTCAGCCCTGATCACCATGGCAAAGCATTAAGCTTCCTAGAAAGGGAAGAGGTGACCAGGTCTCCTTACCTAGGGTCTCCAGCAATTGCTAGCGTCCTAGTTGTTACTGAGTGTGTTTTACCCATACTGGTTTATTAGCTGGTTAACTCTTCTGTTTATTACTGGTTAACTCTCCTCTGAGATTCAGGTTTTGGTTAACTGCGGGAGGAATGAAGTGGATTGCTCTCTGATTATTTTGTCTGTGGATTGCATGCAAAAACTTGTTCCGAGGAGAGCAGAAAGACTGCTTCACAGGCCTGGCATCCCAGAAACTAACAGTGAGCATAAAATAAATATTTGTGGAGCTGGTGAAGGGAAGGTTTGGAATTAGTATGTCAGGGCTACGATAACCTGCATTTTAAATTCGTTGCCTTTCTATAGCCAACGAAATGTAAACAAAACAAAGCAAAACAAGTCTTGCCTACTCTTCCACACTGAAGTTAAAATATTTTTCTCCACTGAAATTTTAAGCCAGAACAATACTTTTATTTCCTCAAGAGAGAAACAAAATAAAAAGAGCCAAACAAAGCAGAGAGACCAGAGATTAACCAAACAGGCAGCCACCGAACTTCCCTCCTCCCACCTCTGAAGGACTTGTTGGTTTTTTTCTTGGAAAGCTTGAGAAACATAGCAGCCCTCCTTCACGGTTTTCAGTCTGTGGTGTTTCTGCCAGCGTTTTGCACAATCCTTGATGCCCTTTGATCCCATGTCTGATTGTCCTAGGCCTATTCATCTTTCAAAACCTTGTCTGTTCAGGTGCCAGCTTTTCTGTGACGCTGCTTTACCTCAAACTCCAGGCCCCTGCTCAGATATTTTTAAAATGTTTCTTCCAATCTTTCCTGCACTGAAATTGTTCCCTTTGTACCTGTTTGTCTCGGTAGATTGTCTGGACACCGATTTATAGTCTGAATTGGGTAGTTTCAGATGATAGTGTTTGTCTGTATTGGCTGAAGGCCATTGAACAGGGCTCTGAACAGTGTGGTTCCTGTGTACTTGGTGGGCAGCTCCATTGCTGGAGTCTGGTCTGAAAGGGTGTAGTGTGCCCAACTAGAGAGCAAAGGCAAACTTCCACAGAATGGAATGTTACACTAGCAGGAGTCTGGCCTGAGTGGCTGAGATTATCCACATGCCCCTGAGAGACCGTGGTGTCTGTTTTAGGATTTATCCACCAGTGGAGACTAAAACCGGAATGTCTGCTGCCTGTTTGTAGTTGTTTCTATGACATCACCCTTGTACGGCTAATGGTGCCGTCCATGTACACTTCCTTCTGCTGGGATCCAGACATTTCCAAGATACTGGCCTTGCTCCAGAGAAGTCAGGGTGAGAGCTAATGCATTCAAATATATAGTACAGAGTAGCATCTAATGGTAAACACCAATACCAAGGAGTCCTTAGCATTTATTTACTTAGTCATTCATTCATTCATTCACTCATTCATTCATAGACAGAAGGTTGCTGTGTGGCCCAGAGTGGCCTTTTAACTGGCTGAGTACCCCAGATTGGCCTTGAACCTTTGAGCTACTGCCTCTACTCCCTGAGTTCTGGGATTAAATTTGTCCTACTATGCCCAACTCCAGTCTTTAACTACTAAGTGCAAACACCAGCTGGCTTTATGTTCAAGATCGGTATTCCTGGTAGGTTGATACCCAGTTTGATTTTTTCTTTTTTTACAATAGGCCCTTTCTCTGTAGCAGTTTTCCTTTTGTCAGCATAAGTTGGTTTTAGGAAGTTAGTGTTTTGAATTGCAGTGACAAGGGGAAGAAGGAGCAGGTTGAGTGTGAAGTCCTTGTAGCACATACTGACGACAGACTCCTTTGAAGTGACAGTGCTGTCTGAATTGTGTCTGCAATCTATGACATCAGGTGTTCCTGACTTCCCAAAGCAGCTGGCAGGAGTCTCAGCAGCAACAATAAGTGCAGAATGGCAGGCACGCTCCCACCTCGGCGCTGTACTTGTTCTCTGTATCTAGGTATCTGCCTCCCCATCCCTTGGCTTGCTCCTTCTACCACCCCACCTTTGTGTCTGTATTCATACACCATCCTTGTAGTCTTCACCGAGTGTCTTTGTAGGTGTGCATGTGCGCCTGTGTGTGCATGGGTTCTGCACATCTGGGCACTAGCACAGAAACCAGAGAAGGATGTCTTGCTCTATCTACCACGGTCCTCCGTTTGAGACAGTCTTACTGAACCTGAAGCATAGTGTTTCACATAGGCTGTGTGGATGAGTTCCTGGAGTCTGCCTGTCTCTGCTCCCCAATGTTGGCGTTGCAGGCATACTCACATTTTATGTGGATGCTCGACACTTGAACTCAGGTCCTCAAGACTTCAGTAGCAAATTCTTACCAACTGAGCCATCTCCCCAGTCTTTGTGACCACCTTTTAAAGGTTGAGCCTTATCCCTTATCCTGTGTCTCTTCCTGGGTTTTAGGTTTTCTCTATAGCACTAATCTATCTTTTACCTAAGTAGAGAGCTTCTGTAAAGACAGGAGTTTCTGTCTGATTTTTAAAATTTCTGCCTATTTAGCATATGGCGGATATTTGCTCAATAGTTACTAAATTTGTAAAGAACCTAAGGTCACCCCAAAAAGCTTAGGTGCTAAATTTTGCTCTGAATGTTTTTGTATTTAAGATAAAAGACAAATACATAAGGCAGATAAATGAAATAGGCTGCATTTACTCTTAGATCTAAAAGAGTTTAAGCAAACTTTTAGCTTATACAAACTTAAGTCTTTTTCCGTTGGGTAAAATACAGGATCATGGTTGTAATATTTCTGATATGATCCTGAATTTTTAAGATCTCGTTATCTTTATATTCAGAGGTCTGTGTTTTATGGTCATCTGTGCCTGAATCTTCTCTTTCATCAGTGCAATTTAACTGTAGACAGTGATCTGTAGAGAATTCACCAATGCCTGAGTGAAACTGTGTCTTAATTTTTGGTTGCAGCCTTACTGGACCAGGGCAAAAGACATTGCAGCCAGGCCTGTTAGTACAGATCTGTAATCCCAGCTGCTTGGGAGACCGAGACAGAGAGATCACAAGTTCAAGGCTTGCCTGGGCAACTTCGTGAGTTCAAAGCCTCCCTGAGCAATGTAGTGAGACCCTGTCTCTAATTTTAAAGAAGGGGGTGTGTAGGGGGTGTGTGTTTGTGTGTGTATGTGTTGGGGGTAGGGAGTGGCAGGAGGTTGGAATTATGTATAGGTCAGCGAGGGAGTGCTTACTTAGCTTGTGTGTGACTTTAGGTTTGATTCACAATGCCCAAACCAAACCAAACCAACAACAGCAACAAAAATAGGCAGGGGAAATGTTACATGTTTTACTTTCCTCATCTGATTTTGTCCTAAGCCAATGTGGCAAGCCTTGACTTCAAGGTCTCTTAAGACCTTTGTGGCGGAAAGGATGTATTTAAAGACCTATTAGTGATACTTTTGTATTTGAGTTTGTGCCACATGCTTAGTACATTATTTAACAACATTTAAGAAGGTAAAGCAAATCAGTATTAAACATTTTATACAAACATTAAAAATGCATATTAATTTCGAGTTGGAATCATGCCTGCTTAAGTGGACTCTTCTGAGAAACACTGTTCTTTGAAAGAAGACAGGAATTTGGGATCTAGAAATGCTTTCAGATTGAAGCAGCAGAGACTCAGTGACCGAAGTTGTAGCCATTGGTGATGAGTCGGTATCAGCAGTATTTCAGAACAAGCCACGGCAATTAGACAATGACAGTATCTCAGTGCTATGATAGGGTAGGGTAAATCTTCTTGGTGGAATGACTTTATAGTACATTAGGTTCCCTATACCTTCTGATTAAACTGTAGATTAGAATGTCAGTCACTGCACTGACTGATCTGGATGTCATGGTGCACTAAGACAGAGAGTGGACCTTACCTTGGTTTATATTGCTTGGGCATATGCATGTTTTGTACATATATTTTTAGAACTGTGTTTCCCAGTGTTATATGTGACTAACACAGTCCCCAGGACGCCAGTGATGTCTCCCAGTTTCCCATGTTCTCCCAAGTTTCAATCTTCTCAGCTTGTTTGGCCTTTGCTACATTCTTCTAGGAAGAAAGATAATCTCTTTGCTGTCTTGGCTTTGCAGAAACCATCCACAAATATCTTTCCTTCATGACTGTGATTTAGACAGAACACTATCTTGTAAATATGAAATATTAACATTTAGTACCTAGGACAACCCAAAGAAAGAATTGAGCCTGCTCACAGACTAGCTCAAGACAGCAGCTGTTGTGGCTTTTCACATACTGCTCAGAAGAGCAGGGGACTGGTAGATTCGAGTGACTTGGAATGTGTACACCTGTCCAGTGGTATTAATAGCAGCAAGGAACACATTTCTTCTACACAGTGTGTGGAAAACAGCTGCTACATAGTAATGCCCTAACATGACTGCTACTGTAGTCATCAGGGAAAAGTGACCTAGGGCCAAAGGGAAAATATCTCATTAGTAAATCCAAGTCATCAAGTCTTCATAGGTAAAGAAATTTAACTTTAATTCTTTTCCTCAAAGCAGGTAAATATCTCTATCTTACTGAGTTTGACTATCAATTGTCTTCATGTAGGTAAAGGTACAGATCCCACCAGGCCAAATCTTTTGGTAAGCCTGAACATGGGAACAATAATGTGAGCACGAACTCTATTTTGGAGTCACTTTACAGATTTCCAAAGTGAGAATTAAGGCTCCTGTATGCATCTCTCTGTGTGTATGTACGCATGTGTATATGTGTATGTATGTATGGTCCATTCATATTTAGGGGGATGTGGTAACATTTGTCTGCACACCTTTCTGACTCGTGCCCTTACTTCCTCTTCTCTTTCTGCACTATTTCTCTTTACCAGTTGTTTCTGTTTTTCTTTTTGAAGTCTGTTTTTATCTGGCACTTAATTTCTTCAGGGCAATCTTCCATTAAGAACTGA